ACGCAACACAATGCAACCCGCCTAAAAATTCCCGCGAAAGGTGCAACCAAACAGCTTGTCGTTCAGGGGGTACCATAAGGTGACAATTTACTAGTGCCCTGCTAACAGCTGGTTGCTTTGGTCGGGGGGGAAAGCAAGATCATCGAATCACCCCCATCCCTCCGAGGGAATCTGTTGTTCTTGACTTCCATACTCCTGATGCTGACCTAAATGAATGGATTCTACACTTCTGCCTCTCCGAGTGTTGAGAGATCCCCAAATCTTGCCCACGCTGCTGCTGCTGCTGACATTTTCTTTTTTTAAACACTCTGCCGCGTAGGGTGCAGTGCTGCCCCAGGCAATTCGAATCACACACCACTAGCGTTTATCTCAATGCTGCCCTGATTGGTTCTCCGTTGTCCACGAAACCCCATGATGCTTGAACATGTACACTGTATGCGTGTTTTTTAGTGAAATACGTCCAAAAAACACTGTAGAGGCATGAATGCAAGCTGTAAGTGACTCGACGCGACAGCCGGTCATGTACACTGTAGAGGCCTGAAAGCAAGCTGTAGTCAATATAATGACTCCGATTCCAACCAGGGTTGACTGGCAACATTTGTGAGTGGTGGAGAGCGAACTAGTGCGACACGCATAAAGCAGCAACAAAAACACCTTGTACCGCATTGGTCATCCCCGATAATACTTGAGTTCTGATTCTTTGTTGCAATGACTATGCGAACAGAGAGAGTACTTAACTATCTGGCTATCTGGTGACTATGCCCGGTTGTAGATAGTGTATGAGGCACACAACAGAGCTCAAACACTACGTATGAAGGCGGCCATTGCAATGCCTCACGGCTCGCCTGACCTCACGACGAGCATACACCGCACGACTCGGCACAATTACTAGCATGCATGTAGTTATTGTCACACTTTTTCGGGGTCTTCCAGTACACACAGTGCTGCTCTTTGTCCTCACACGACCCATCCGAAGACAGCGCTACAGCCGGAGCCCCAGATGGGGTGTATAACGCACCCCTAAATGGTATGTATGCATAAGACAGGCACGCCGCCAGGCCTCTCGATATCAGAGTAAAACATCCTTATGGCCCTTACGATAAGGGTGGGTTTAGGTGATCACCCTTGTTTTTAAAACTTGTTTTTTGAGGCACCCTTAGCCGAAAAAGTGTTCATTTTGTTAACACTGATTTTTAAGACAGGCCTGGTGTACTCGCCCTGATGACAAAGACTAGTGTCGCGTACCACCCTGATGCGATTTCACGCGGCGGGGGGGGGGGGGGGGGGTGGGTGGGGGGTGGTACTGACGAGATTTGGGCCGTGATTAGCGGCGTTTTGCTTGAGTCAGCAGATGTGCGCGTCGCCTTGACGGCTCGCGTTGCCACTGCCACAGGCTCATCAACTGTACCTGGCTCACCTGCAATCTTCCTAGCTGCCAATGCCGCGCAGCGCCACACACACCTGCTTTGTGCAGGAGGTGTGTCCACCAGTGAAGCTTCTTCTTCCCTCCCCAGCAGGCCCCCACCCACCGACCAGTCTCTCCCACGCACCCAACCCAGTCCTCCTCGTCTCATTTCTCAATTCTGCCTCCTCGCTATCTCGTCTGGTCTAGAGTTTGCTTTGCACACCACCCCACCACCACGCTCTCCCAACAGCTAGCGTAGGCCCAGCTCCTGCAACCACCCCTCTGGCCCTCGTCAGGGCTGCTGACGAAACCACCGATGGTGACGACGAGGCGGGCAGTGAACTCCAAAAATCACCCCCGCGAACGGGCCTCAGCTTTCTACGAACCCCCACTAAGAAGCTGTCAGATCCGGAGCCCGTAGTTGCTTCAACCGAGGACGAAACCCGCGCAGATGATTCAGGGCCTGACCTGCGCTCACCTGAAGTTTGCACTACCACGGCGGAACCCTCACCTCCAGAAGCGACGGCTCCTGAAACGGAGATAGGCGATGCGGCTGGCGACTCTGCGAACAAGAAGCGCAAAGAGTCAAGCGGTGGCAGTGCTACGCAGTGGTGGCGACAACCGAAGCCCTCTGTGAAGCGGGCAGCACGTCCAATCCGACGAGTGGAGGACGAGGGAAGTGATGACGACGAGGAAGAAGACGGCCTGCCAACTGTCGAAGAGATGGCCCGTTACCCCGAGGTCGCTTTCGCTAAAGCGCATAAGCGGTTTAAGACTTCATGGGAGTCTTTGTTTCCGTGGCTAATTCTAACTCGTGATGACGTTGGCTTCCCCATTTTGAGATGCAGCACGTGCTTGGAGCATGGAGCTGAAGGCGCGAAAACGGCTTATGGCAAGGGAGGCAGTGGAGGGCGTGACATGCAAAAGGGGAGCATCCGGACGCACCAGCGCTCCACCGCACACCACGATGCACACGCCGAGATGAAGTCGAAGGAGAGCCGGAAGCTTCGTCAAACGCTGCTGAGCGAGTTTGAGGGGTTGGATCGCAGCACTCTTCATATCATCACTGCTCTCAAGACTACCGTGTACATCTGCAAGTCGGAGGCGCCAATCACCTCCTACGTGGGCACCATCAAGTTCATGGCCGAGCTCGGAGTCCCGAACCTTCCCTTGGATTCCAAGGGAAACTACTTTTCGGAGTAAGTTTCGGGGTACTTGGTGTCGTTGTACTGGTTCCGTTACAACTGTCTTGATTGATCACGTGCTAACCTTTGTGCTTGTATCATACAGGTACGGTTTCGGGGAGCTGCTAGAAGCTGCAGCGAAGTACATGCCGCAAGAGCAACTGAAGCAGATCGAGGCGAGCCCGTACATCTCCATTCAGCTCGATGAGAGTACTGACAAGGCGCGCGACAAGCACATGATAGTCTACGTCCACTTCATGAAGGAGGGAGCGAGCGTCTGCGAGTTCCTCACGCTGCTGACAGTTGACAAGTGTGACGCGGCAAGTCTAGTCGACGTGTTACTGACCCACCTTGACGCCGTGGGCATGGACTTGTCCAAGATTGTTGGAATCAGCACCGACGGCGCCAGAGTAATGACGGGCACCAGCAATGGTGTTGTGGCACGACTCCGGCAGCGGAATCCCTATCTCGTGTCGTGCCACTGCATCGCACATCGGTAAGTCCGTCATTGTTACTGGCTGTATGGCAGGTGTGTGTTGATCATGTACTGCCCACTCACTTCAATCGCTTGTTTCCTCCGTTCTACCTTGAACAGGGAGGCGTTGGCCGCGAAGGATGCCGCTGAGAAGGCGACGGAGTTCAACATTATAGACCAGGCGGTGCGCAACGTGGCGGAGCAGCTTTCTAGGTCGAGCAACTGGCACCGGCGATTCGAGCACCTTCAGGAGTACATCTGCGAAACCAACTTGGAGCTGCAGGGGATCCACGACGTGCGATGGCTCTCTAGAGGAGAGGCAGTCAAGCGGTTTGCCAAGGTTTTGCCGGCGACAATCGTCCTGCTGCACGATTTCAAGCACGCGCTATACGAAACGGTCACCTCTTTCAAATTCCACTTCATGCTTTTCTTCCTTGCAGACATTCTTGCCGTGCTCAACGAGCTCAACGCCAAGTTCCAGAAGCAGCAGGTGACATGTGGAGTGTTTTGGTTGTACATATAGGCGTTTGTGTCACTGCCATGTTCCCGGTTGGTGTGCGCCGTTGAGACCCAGTGTACATCAACCTCTGGCAGCAACTATTCATCCCACGCCCACTCACAGGTTGACATCACCGTGGTCGCGGGGGAGGTGTCACTCGCTTGCCGGACGATCGAGGTGCGTTACGTGGACTGCGAGGATCGTTTCGGCAACGATCAGTCGCCCCTGCTCTGCGCGTTCCTGAAGAAACACGGCAACCCCCAGCACCGCGAAGTCACCTTCCAAGGCGTGGACCAGAACGGCGAAGCTGCAGAGCACGAGTTCGTGCTTCACGAGCGCAAGATCCCAGGCCATAAGACTGGCGGGGACTACTATTCTTGCAAGGCGGTGTGCCAGGAGTTTGCGAGGGTTTGCGTTGCGCGACTGGAGTTCCGCCTAGAAGACCTCAAGAACCTGGCCGGCTCCAAGCTTTTCCGGCCATCGTGCTATCCCGACGACAACGCGCAGCGGATGAAGAAGTGCCGCGAGTGGTTGGGCATGCTAGACCACATGTTTCACCACCGCCTCTTTGGTACGCCACCTGGTTGTGCCTGCAATGTGCTGTCTGCTGTGTGTGTGTGTGTACCTTGGTGTGCTATTAAACACCTCCTATACGCCCCGATCGCCCCTCTCACTGCTCTGCTAGGTGTGTGCTTCAAGGCGTGCGAGAGGGAGCTACCATTGTTTCTCCACACCATGGATACCAACCACGGGAACATGAGCTTCCACAAGTCGCTCTCGCTCATGCTCCAGTCAACTGACTACGTGGCAGCGTACCCGAACCTTGTGCAGCTGTGGCAGGCCGTAGCTGTGCTCCCCCTCAGCACGGTGGAGTGCGAGCGGGGCTTCAATCGCCAGAACCGTATCAAGACGTGGAAGCGGACCTGCCTGGGCGACGCCAAACTGGGCGATCTGATGACTGCAGCGCTCCTGCCCAGTGATGGTCTGAACTGGGTGAATGTGGTAGCCGTGTTCAATGCTAGCAAGAAGCGCCGTCCTTCCCAGGAGTTTTTGTATTGATTTTGCTACTCTGCTCCCTGCTAGGAGTATTCTGCACGTCATATATTCTATATGTAGGTCCTGTTGTTGTTCTAGTTCTAGTCATATATTTTATTGTTCTTTGCACGTCATGTCATGTCAACCTAAACATTAAGCGTTGGTTAAAAAAAATTGGTACAACTAACCGAGGGTACATAATGTAACGCTTTAATCTAAACATGTAAGGGTGAAAACAATGTGTACACTGAAGAGTAAGAGTACCTTTCCTGCTGACACTGATAAAAAAGACTGACATGGTTGATGCATCCTTACTGAAAGACCAACTCCAGCTAACTGGTCTTATGAGTAAGAGTGCCCCAAATCCTATCCAGAGGCCTGCACACCGCAGCTATCCTGACCTCAAGCCGAACATACACCACACGACTTGGGACAATTAGCATGCATGTACTCCTGGTTCTTGTCACACTCGCCCTGCGTCTTCCAGTACACACAGTGCTGTGCCTTGTCCTCACACGATCCATCCGAAGGCGGCGCTACAGCCGGAGCCCCAGATGGGGTGTAGAACGCACCCACGTGAATCCACTTTGTCGCCGACCATTTTTCGCCGGAAATTACCGGGCAGCCCGCGTGAAGAGATTTGAGGTCGAGTTCGGCGGATGGGGTGAGGGAGAAGAAAAGGAGCGCGTCGCCTCTGATTGGCTTGGCTGCCACTCCCTGCTTGCCGCACTCCGACCAGGTGTCATCCTTCTCCACAGGGTCCTGGTGTGGTGTAGATACAGGGAATCAGCACACTTGTGAATACTGAGAACCGGAGCCACTCCCTGCTTGCCGCACTCCGACCAGGTGTCATCCTTCTCCACAAGGGGGTCCTGGTGTGGTGTAGCTACAGACGAATCGGGACAAATTCAAATCGACTCAGCAGACAACAGAGCCCTTCCCTTGTTCCCTGCATCTTGCACACCATTGCGGATACCCTTTCACTCACTCTCGCTATTGCACACACACACCTCCTCTCCCAAGCCTCCTTCACTGCACATGCCTTAGCATCTGGAAACACTGTCTCACATCCCATCAAGCCCTCTGTGAGGTACATGAGCACCGTGGCGTAGCGGTGTTCACCCTGCTGTCTCTGCCCCTGCCTCGGTGCCCCTGGTTCCCCCGCCCTTTGAGGATCTACGGACCTCTCCTGCACATACCTTAGCATCGAGAAACACCGTCTCGCCTCCCATCAAGCCCTCTGTCAGGTACATGAGAACCGTGGCGTAGCGGTGGCCACCCTGCTGCCCCTGTCCCTGCTGCCGACAGAAAGAAACCTAGTGCTTTATGGAGCGACAAACCCCTCCTGCACGTACCTTAGCATCGGGAAACACGGTTTCGCCTCCCATCAAGCCCTCAGTCAGGTACATGAGCACTGTGGCGTAGCGGTGGCCGCCCTGCTGCCCTGACCCTGCTGCCCCTGCAGCGCCTTCCCCTGCTACCGATAGAATGTAACCTAGTGCTCTATGGAACTACAAACCCCTCTTGCGCGTACCTTAGCGTCAGGAAACACCGTCTCGCCTCCCATCAAGCCCTCAGTCAGGTACATGAGCACTGTGGCGTAGCGATGCCCACCCTGCTGCCCCTCCTTCTCGAAAAAGTCGTGGTGTGCCTCGTACTTCTGCCCCTCCTGGTACCGCAGCACCTGCATCGCCTCCTGGTTCTCTGCATGGCAGAAAACAGAGAGGGAAAGCGTGAAGAAAAACAAATGCCTTGTTACACCTCTGCACTGCACCGCACCGCACCACCTCCTTAGAGAAGTCGTGGTGTGCCTCGTACTTCTGCCCCTCCTGGTACCGCAGCACCTGCATCGCCTCCTGATTCTCTGCAAGATAGGGACTGAAAAGAAGGGAGGTGCAATCTTGAAAATTCTTTGTCACACCTGTGCACCGCTCTGCACCGCACTACAGTGCAGCATTCTTGGAGAAATCATGGTGTGCCTCGTACTTCTGCCCCTCCTGGTACCGCAGCACCTGCATCGCCTCCTGGTTCTTTGCACAGGAGAATTAAGAATGAGCGGATGTGCGGTATTAAAAATGCCTTGTCACAACTCTGCACCGCATTGTAGCACATCTATCTCGAAGAAATTGTGGCGCGCCTTGTACTTGTGCCCCTACTGATACTGCAGCACCTGGATCCGTGTGCTTGTGTTTTGTCCCCCTCCCTGAGCTTCTCTGGTGGACAAGGTGGGAGAAATGGTGGGGTGGCAAACTGACGCACCCCTTTTAACGCCTCAGCACCGATGTGAATATTATCCCAGCCCCTTCACACCACACTGCTTTCCTTGGCTGGAAAGAAGAGGTTCATGCAAGTTGCAAAACGGACCAACAGACAGAGAGTGGCAGTGAGAAAGTGCAACTAAGGATAGATAGACGTACAGTGAGGTTGACTTATCAACAGGGAAAATGGCCTTGATGACGTCACTCACCAACAGGGAGGAAGGTCCATGCAGCAATGCGCTGCTCAATGCGCTTGATGACGTCATCCTGGTGTGTGCATCCATGCATCCATGCAGGGAGTGAGATTAAAGACGAGAATAGGGGAGAAGTAGAGGGAAGGGATACGGGGAATGAAGATCGGGACGTTCAGGCATGGGCAAGGAAGTTCCACAGGCTGATTACTTATGGGGAACAGCAGCTAACAGCCCAGCAACGTTCAGGAAAGCTCAGCCCAGCCCAGCCCAGCCCGTACAACCCAGCACAGTCCAGTCCAGTGTAAGCGCCCCTCCCAACCTGCTGGAAGTCCAGGACGTGCTGAAGCCCGTCAGCTGTGGGGAGGAGCAGCTAACAAGAACCTGCCGAAGCCATTCCCTTCCCCTCCCCTCTCCACCCCCCTCCCCCCACCCGCTGGAACTCCAGAAACGTGCTGAAGCTCATCACCCATGGGTAAGCGCAGCTAACAAGAATTTGTCGAAGCCCCCACTTCCCCTCACCCCCCTCCCCTCCCCCCCCCCCCCCCTTCACCCTACCTGCTGGTAGTCCAGGAACGTGCCAAAGCTCGTGCGCACGTCATCCACGTTCGAGCCCTCTCCCTCCCGAGCCACCACCTCCGACCGCTCCAGGCGCGGCCGTGCCTGGCAGTGTGGTTCGGGGACACATGAGGGGCATGCGACAGGTGAGAGGTGCGAAGCCAGGGTGGGTGTGGTGGCGAGGGAAGGAGGGCAGGGGAGTAGGTGTAGTAGGGGGGTAATTCGGGGAAGGACATGAGGCTGTTGGTGGGGGGATCAAGGCTTTGGATGGAAACCTGGAACACAGACAGGGTGGTGTGACGTCACAGCAGTGAGCCGCTCTCACCATGCGGTGATGTGTGACTAAAACGAGCATCCCAACAGGGCGACCATGTGACTAGAGCGAGCGCCTCTCTCAGTCTTACCAGGGCGATGATGTGGTCGCACTCCTCTGGGTCAGAACCGTGTGGTAGAGGAAACACTTTTGAGGCGGCTCAACTGCTGAGGCCTTGTGAGGCCTTGAGAGGCCTTGTGAGGCCTTGTGAGGCCTTGAGAGGCCTTGTGAGGCCTTGTGAGGCCTTGAGAGGCCTTGTGAGGCCTTGAGAGGCCTTGTGAGGCCTTGTGAGGCCTTGTGAGGCCTTGTGAGGCCTTGTGAGGCCTTGTGAGGCCTTGTGAGGCCTTGTGAGGCCTTGTGAGGCCTTGTGAGGGGTCTCAAAAGTCAGTCTCAGCAGGGCGAAGATTTGACTACAGAGGGTGCGCCCCCCAGTCTCACCAGGGAGATAATGTGGTCGCACTCCTCTGGCGTCAGAAACTTGTGGTAGAGAAAAGCCCTGGTGGTGGTAGTACAAGTGGACGGATGGGGGGATGAGGACGGTGGTGGGAGAAGAATTGATGGTATCGTGTATAGTCCCTGGTAGTGGTAACACGAGTGAATGAAGGATGGGGAGGGTGGAGTGAGAAGGAGGGATGTGGAGGACGGATGGGGCGAAAGGGGGATTTGGAAGGTGGAGAGCGGACGAGGGATGTGGATGTTCTGAAGATCGGCTTATACCGCGGTGGGAGAAAGGTGGGAGACGGGATTGACGAGGATAAATCGACAGCGAATACGGCTAGTGGGATTATAAAGATTCGAATGTGCTTAACACTGTCAGGGAGCGCCTAGGCACAATTTCCAAACCAGCACGAATTCACCCCTGACAGACATAGATACTGTAATGACTCATGGAATTTAAACCGTTAGAAGGTCCACTGCCATTTGAACAGAAGATTATCTCGTACCTTGGCTTCCACGACAGCACGGTGACGCGCGGTTCTGTGAGGTTCCCGTCGGCCACTGCTGGATTGATATCCGCCACCCCGAACCTGGTTGACGGGACATGACAGTTTGTAACGGAGCATGACGGAGTAGGAGACGGAAATTAGTACACAACGGCTGGATATACGTGTGCCCCTAGATAAAAATGTCACCGAAACGCGCGCTAGAAACTCTATAGGATAATCCAGCATTACTGCTGCTGCTGTCAATGGACATAGCCGAATTTCAGCTGTGATACGAACTAAAAGGCTAAATAACTCAGATTCTCACTTGTCCGCCTGCCATCCAGGGTACGCCTCAGACTCCGCCTGACACGAGGTAAGACTAGGCCATGCTGCGCAGATAACGGCGAGAAGCAGCCATAGCCGCGTGGCTTCCATTACGAGAACCGTATGAAGAGTGCACTCAAGAAGCTTGTGGGAAGGGTGGCTGGGAAAAGACACAATGGGAAACGGTCGTAGATGCTCGCAGTCTGGGAATGGGAAATGGTAAACCGGAGGAAAAAATGTCGGCTGAATGGAGTGAGCAGAAATTGCTGTGGAAATCCTGGAGATAGCTGATGAAAGGAGCTGTGGGGGGGTTATTCCGTGTTGATGCATTTTCATGTGGTGAAGTATGTTTCGTTTATATTTCAAAGCGTTTCCATAGGGTTCTGAAGGAATCTTGTGTCATGTCACGGCGCTCTCGATGAATCCAAGGGGGAGGAACCTGGCTTCGCGAACCATCTGGTCAGGTTTCGCCAGTTCCCAAGAATCTCTGGTGTAACGAGATTGGGCAATTTGACCGCACCACCTGGATCGAGCAAATGAGAAGCGAGGGAGTTTGTCGTCAAAATCACCGCGAAGAACCGCGAAAGTTACAGTTTTCTGTGGACCGTACTCGCCTAAACCTTGGAAACCCCCCTGCATCCATCAGCATCACCATTCTCAATGCCAGTTCCTCTCCCACACCGAGGTTGACAGTGTACCGCGCTGCCACGTTGTAAAACACACTCAACCGAGTAGCATGCCCTCCAACCCTCAGCACTCATGCTCGGACTCCGTCTAACCTGAATTCCCATCACACACATTTGGTTTGAGGAAAACTCTAATGGCGGGCCGTTTCTTGTTCCTAGACCCCAAGGCGCAATCAGCCCTGACTCAAGAACTTAGTACAAATTCATGTAGTCGCCGCGCGTCTCGTCTGTTCTTACGTTTCTAGCGGAGAAAGAGGTCTGTCGATCCTTCCACACGTATTCCCTTCTGGTTCAGCGCATACGTAATATTCCAAAATGCGGAAGAGGCATCTTGTTCTCGAATTTCTTCTTCCATTCTTCCTCGCGGCTGCTTCAGCGTTGGCGTTATCAACTGACGAAACGCAAAAAGGGTAAGCAGATCATCATTACCGCCGGTTAGGGTTACAACATTGGTTCAGGTTTCTGGCCACCTCTTTTGACTTCGTGGTGATTCTCAGAGAGGATATCGCATTCGTGATGCTTGTAGTACAATTTTTTCTCTTGGCATCTGTCGGCCATTTCCTGACCATACCTGCTGACTTCGCGGCTTTCAAAAGATGCGACGAGATCTCTTGCACAAAGGAAAGTGAACACTTGTCTAGTGGCCTTAAAATCGTACTAGTAACACGTGTCACGTGTCCTTGCAACCCATCCGTGTAACGCGAGTTATCCCCTACAGCACCTTGTCAGCGCCGGGACTGAACATCCCGCCGGATTACATTCCGGACCCCTCTCGAATCAAGCAGCTCGCATGGAAGCCCAGGTGCGTCACAGAGGCATTTAACGGTTGTAGACTATGCGGGGGGATGTGGGGGATGTGGTGGATGCGGGTTTGGATGGGGGGATAAATGGGGATTATTGCGGGGATACATGTGGGAATGGTTGGTCCCTGAGCATTTCTCGCCATTCCTCGAGACCCATTCCCTCCAGACCCCTCCCTCCTCTCAACAACCTGTCTTACTTCGAACCACAAATCGTGAAAGGTTTTCCGTCTCATCGCACTTCCTCTAACGTCTCTTTCACTCAACCCCCTATCAATTCCTCCACACTTCCCATCCGTCTCCCTATACCGCTGCTCTCTCTCCCCACTCTCTCCCTCGTCAACCCCCTCCTCTGACCCTCCTTCATCGCATTCATTATTCCCTCCGCAGGGCTTTCCTTTATCCCAATTTCCTCTCTGCTGCGGAGTGTGATTACATCGTCAACATGGTATGCTAGCACATCACCCTCCCACCACTTCCTCTTGGCCCACCCTTACTTTCTTTTCCCCCCGCTCCTCGTTCTGTGATCACTATATCGTCAACATGCTATGCGATCACCATGGCCTACACCACTTCCTCTTGGCCCGCCTTTCCTTCTTTTCCCCCCCACTCTCGTTCTGTGATTACAATCGTTCTTTTCACCCCGGGCCACTGCACTGATTCCTTTCCATCTTCCCTTCCTCTCCTTCACCGTCTGACCCCCACCTTTTTCTCCCCATCTGGACTTCGTTGAATCTCTCCGTGCTTGTAGCCTGCTCCTTCCGTTTTTCCTTTCAACTCTCCATTCCCCACTATTCCCTAGATCCATTTTTTGCTTTGTGTAGGCGCCCATTGGAAACCGTGAAACACCGCCCTTAACCCCTTCGTGATGTCCGTCTGTGGATGCATGGTTTTCATCGCCCATCGTTCTGAGTTTCTAACACTTTGAACTCCCGGTTGTCAATTGGCGCATGGTGGTAGTGAAGTGAGGGATTACATGAAACCAGTCTCGCCACCTGCTGCTTCTCTGCCCCCCTCCCGTTGTCTCTGTCCCTCCTTTCCCTTGCTTTATGCCCCCTTTCCCCCTCGCTTTATGCCCCCTTTCCCCTCACATTCTGTCCCCTGTCCCCTCCCCTTGCCCCCTTGTCTCTCCCTGTGCAGTCGCGCCCGCTAATTGGAGTGGTCGACAGTGGTGGGGCAGGGAGGGAAGAGCGTGGTCGACACCATTCGAACCAGCAATGGCTGATCTATTGCGACCCCTGTCCCCCCTTTTTTCGCCCCCTCTCCCCTCCGTTTGGCCACCCTGTCCCGTCCCCTTTGGCCCCCTGTCCCCTCCCCTTCCACCCTGTGTCTCTCTCGGCAGTCGCGCCCACTAATGGAGCGGTCGACAGTGGTGGGGCAGGGAGGGAAGAGCGTGGTTGACACCATCCGGACCAGCAATGGCTGCTTCATCGATAAGTACAAGGTGATAAGCAATAGAAACCTCATTGATAAGTGCAAGGTGATATGCACTAGAAACTTCATTGATAAGTACAAGGTGCTAAGCAGTAGAAATTTAATTGTGGGTATTTCAAGGTGATAGGCAATAGAATCTTCATTGACTGCCCAACTCTTCCTTCTCTCACATGTCCTCTTATGCTCAGCTCACCTGCCCCCCCCCCCTGTCCTCACCAGGACCCAGTCATCAAGCGCATAGAGGAGCGCATTGGTGACTGGACCCTTCCTGCCCCTAGGCAAGGCAAGGCAAGCTCGTCACGGCCCTGACTCTCACTCTCCGCCCCGTGCCCTCACCTGTCTCGCCCTGTCCTCACCAGGACCCCGTCATCAAGCGCATTGGCAACGGGACCTTCCTGTGTCACTTTTGAGAGCATTCTCAGTCGTGACACAAGCGTAGTGCCTCCTGTGCACGGCTTGTCTCCCCCCCGCCCCCACCACCAGAACCCGTCACCAAGCGCATAGAGGAGCACATTGGCGACTGGACCTTCCTGCCCCTAGGCAAGGCAAGCCCCTCCCTACACGCCCCTTACTCTCGCTCTCCGCCCCGTGCCCCTCACCTGTTCTCGCCCTGTCCCCACCAGGACCCAGTCATCATGCGCATAGAAGAGCGCATTGGTGACTGGACCTTCCTGCCTCTTGGTACGTTCCTTCCGCCATGCCCCTCCTTCATGCATACCATGGGGATGG